CGGTAGAATTCCAAGCATAAACATAATAGTCATGATGGAAACAGAAAATCATTATACAAACACCACAGTAATGATTATTGCAGTCAAGAACCATCAATAGAATTATCACATAATGCAGTAATCTCACTTCTGGGTATACATCCAAAAGAATTTAAAGCAAGACCTTGAAGAGATATTTGCACACTATATCACTGCAGCATTATTCACAATAGCCAAGATGTGGAAGCAACCCAATGTCCATCAAAATGGATAAAGCAAATGTGGTATATACATGTAATGGAAAATTACACAGCCTTAAAAAAGTAAAATCCTGTCACATGCTACAATATGGATGAACCTTAAGGACATTATGCTAAGCAAGGTAAGTCACAAAGGGACAAATACTATATGATTCCACTCATACGTAGTATCCAAAATAGTCTAAATCATAGAAACAGAAAGTAGAAATGTGGTTGCCAGGGGTGGAGTGGGGTGGGGTGAATTAGTGTTTAATGGGTATAGAATTTCAGTTTAGCAAGATGAAAAAGTTCTAGAGATCTACTGTACAACAATGTGAATATACGGGGCACCTGGGTGGCTCAGTCGTTAAGTGCCTGTCTTCGGCTCGGGTCATGGTCCCAGGGTCCTGGGATTGAGCCCCGCATCGGGCTCCCTGCTCGGCAGGAGGCCTGCTTCTCCCTCTCCCACTCCCCCTGCTTGTGTTCCCTCTCTCACTGTGTCTCTCTCTGTCAAATAAATAAAATCTTTTAAAAAAATAAAAATGAAACAATGCGAATATACTTTACACTACTAAACTATATAGTTAAAAAATGGTTAACGTAGTAAATTTAATGCTATGTGATTTTTCTAACTACAGCTTTTTATTTATTTATTATGATTTTATTATTTATTTATTTGTCAGAGACAGAGACAGCACAAGCAAGGGGAGGGGCAGAGAGAGAAGCAGGCTCCCCGCCGAGCAGGAAGCCTGATGTGGGGCTCAATCCCAGGGCCCTGGGATCACAACCTGAGCTGAAGGCAGATGCTTAACCAACTGAGCCACCCAGGGGCCCCCACTTTTAAATTAATTAATTATTTAATATTATATATCTTAAAAAAAGAACCACTGGTGGGTGTTAAAAGTAGTGAGCAGAAGTATGCTGAGAAACAAGATATCTGCATAGATTCTAAGTATCTTCTCACAAGGTACTTATTAATTACAAAGGGGAAAATAGTAAGTTTATAGTAGGGAAACCTGACAGACATCAACTTAATAATCAAGTAATCAAAGTTAACATCACCAGTAACAATACATATTGGCATCATATATCCCCTGTAATTACGCACTGAGAAGGGAACATCACTTTAGCCAAAACTGCATAACCTAATTATAAGAAAATATTAAACAAACTCAAATTGAAGAACCAAAAAAAGGACATTAATGGAAAAAAGACTGGTAAAATTGGACTAAGTTACATAGATTAGTTAATAGTATTATATCAGTGTTAATTTCCTAGTTTCAATAATTGCACTATGGTTACAGAAGATATTAGCATTAGAGAAAACTAGGCAAAAGGTATATGGGAACCCTACTATTTCTTTTTTTTTTTTTTAAGATTTTATTTATTTATTTGAGAGAGAGAGAGCACGAGAGGGAAGAGGGTCAGAGGGAGAAGCAGACTCCCTGCCGAGCAGGGAGCCCGATGTGGGACTCGATCCCGGTACTCTAGGATCATGACCTGAGCCGAAGGCAGTCGCTTAACCAACTGAGCCACCTACTATTTCTACAATTTTTCTGTAAGTGTAATTTATTTCAAAATTTAAAAGTTTTTATTTTTTTTTTTTTAAGATTTTTTATTTATTTGACACAGAGAGAGGGGGAGAGAGGGAGAGAGCACAAGCAGGGGCAGCAGCAGGCAGGGGAGAAGCAGGCTCTCCTCTGAGCAGGGAGACCGACGTGGGGCTTGATCCCAGGACTCTGGGATCATGACCTGAGCCAAAGGCAGACGCTTAACCGACTGAGCCACCCAGGTACCCTGTTTCATTTTTTTTTTTTAAGATTTATTTATTTATTTATTTATTTGAGAGAGAGCAGAGTGAGTGAGAACATAGTGGGGGGCAGAGCCAGAGGAAGACAAAGAAGCAGGCTCCCTGCTCAGCAGGGAGCCCAACACGGGGGCTCGATCCCAGGACCCCAGGATCACAACCTGAGCCAAAGGCAGACTCTTAACCTACTGAGCCACCCAGGCGCCCCTAAAAAAAGTGTTTTTAAAGTAGACTCATCAAAGTATGACAGAACTTCAAAAGGTTATTTAGGAAAGACAGAGATGAGAATACAATGTCCCTAGCTTTTTGAAAATGATAACAGGATTATAGCATTGGACATTACTTTGCAGATCATCTGATACTATGACTCAACTAATGAAGAATTCTTTTATGTCATGCCCTTAACATACAGTCTTCCAACCATTGCCTGAATACTTCCAGTAACAGGAAATTTACTATGTCAAAATGCAAGCCACACATTCCATGACCCCACAATTCTAATTAACACAAAGTTCTTCTCCATTCTGAGCTAAATCTGTCAGACATGTACCTGAGGAAAACCAGAGTTTTCCAACCAGGGGTCCTCAAAGTGGGAAAATGTGTCAATGAGGCACGACAAAATGTCCAGTTTATTAACATTAGCTAAAATTACATCTTGTCAGCATGAGATAAACCACCCTAAGTTATTTACATGGATGATTTGCTTTAATGCTGTCCCAGAACCTAATACAGTACCTGGTACATATTAGGTACTCAAGAAATGTTTACTGATTCACAGAACGAGGCACAAGTCTGAGAGTCACATGATGAGTTTCCCCCTCCACCACCGATGTATGCACAAAAACAAATGACTTAGAACTCTATGATAAATTCCATTAAAAGTTTCCAATGCATAGAACATACCCCAACTCTGAAAAGAAATAGCTGCATGACTACACAAAGTAGAATGCCTCCTCTGTACAGACATATTCTTTACTCATTCAACATATATTTAGTGCCTACTCTGTGCCAGGGTGAGTGAGAAGCCCAGGAAGTACAGGCACAAACAAAACGTCCTCAGAAGGGCACGGCTTGGGGCGCCTGGGTGGCTCAGTTGGTTAAGCGTCTGCCTTCAGCTCAGGTCATGATCCCAGGGTCCTGGGATCGAGTCCCACATCTGGCTCTCTGCTCAGTGGGGAGTCTGCTTCTCCCTCTCCCCCTGTGATCTCTCTCACTTTTGCTCTCTCTCAAATAAACAAAATCTTAAAAAAAAAAAAAAGAAGGGCAAGGCTTACACACTAGAGGGAATTACACTATTTTAAATTATTTTGGTATATTTACATAAATAAATTATGTAACACAATTTTATATCAAAAATATTTTTAATTGCATCAAATATGAAAAAGAAGTTAGTGGCTACAGAAGGAATTCATATAAATTAGTAAGAAAAATAAATTCCCATAGATAAATGGAGAAATTATACAAGCTTATGATTTTTACAAACTAGAATATAAGATAAACATAGAAAAATGTTTAGCCCTGATAGATAAACAGAGAAATACAAAGCAAAACAAGGTGGGGGGTGGGGGCACCTGGGTGGCTCACTTGTTAAGCGTCTGCCTTCGGCTCAGGTCATGGTCCCAGGGTCCTGGGATCAAGCCCCACATCAGGCTCCCTGCTCCGTGGGAAGCCTGCTTCTCCCTCTCCCACTCACCCTGTTTGTGTTCCCTCTCTCTCTGTGTCTCTGTCAAATAAGTAAAATCTTTAAAAAAAAAAAAAAGCAAAACAAGGTAACATTTTCTACCCAGTTAATTTTTTTTAAAACACCCAATTCAGAGGAGTTAATAATGAAAGACTAGTTATATATACATTGCTGGTGGCACTATAAATTAAAACAACCTCCTTATGGAGAGAGAAACTGCTCATGCTCATTGACCCAGGGTATACCCTCCTAGTAATTTATCTTTAATAAATTATTAAAAATTTTAAAAACTATATATCAAGGGCGCCTGGGTGGCTCAGTTGGTTGGGCGACTGCCTTCGGCTCGGGTCATGGTCCCGGAGTCCCAGGATCGAGTCCCGCATCGGGCTCCCGGCTCGGCGGGGAGCCTGCTTCTCCCTCTGACCTTCTCCCCTCTCATGCTGTTTCTCTCTCTCTCTCTCTCTCTCTCAAATAAATAAATAAAATCTTTAAAAAAAAAAACTATATATCAAGAAAATGGTAACTATATTAAAGCCTATAATGGCAAAAAAATATTGGAAATAATTTTAATATCAAACAAAGCCTAAGAGAATAACACGTAGCCATTAAAAAATTTAATTATGCAATCTAACTAACATGAATAATGTCTGCTCTAATAAGTGAAAACACACCAGAAGAAAAAATTCTGTGGATATTTGTTAAGGTATCTAAGGAAAAAATTAGTACACACATACACACACATAAGGACTGGAAAAAAAACCAGCAGATGTTTTCACGTTTGAGGTCATGGATGATTTTTATTTCCTTTATTACTAAATTATTTGTATAATTAACAAAAATCAGGAGAAAAAACTCTCAAGGAGGGTCCAAGGTAATGAATCACGTGGTCAATGGTAAACTAAGGCCTCAAATAATTGTTCCTTTGGATTTGGTGTTCATAAAAAGAAAAAAAAAATGGAAGAAACATTTCTTACCCCAAATAAAAGTGGCACAATGTGGCTACAAAAAGAAAACCGAAGTTAACTCTGAGACGAATATCTGGAACATTCCCAACAGCAAAAATCATCAGACTGTAGCATGGTATCCTAGGCTAAGTTCCACTGCTGGGGTATTTAGAAGCAACGCCCTAGACACCATACTGTAGGAATCAGTCCTGAGCTGGCACCACAGAGACCCAGAAGTGGTCTCATGAGGTTTTTCCATCACACAATTTGTTTGGTTAATCTATAAATATATGACATTTGCAAATAAACACTAAGGTTTTCATACCAAGCAAAGGAACAACAAACCTTACCTGGAAAGTACCAGACAGAGCCCTGCCCCACTGTCCCTGTGTAGAATACACAGGTACCAATCGGCTGCATACTGGAAACCACTGGGAAATGTTAATCCGGTTCCTCTAGAGAAAGAAAAAAAGTGTCTGTCAAGAATTATTTCCAACTCCATGTATAGAAATGTAGAAATCCTGCCAGAACAGGGTACATGAAAAGAGAACTTCCAGGGCGCCTGGTGGCTCATTCAGTTAAACGTCTGCCTTCGGCTCCGGTCATGATCCCAGGGTCCTGGGATCGAGTGCGGTGTCAGGCTCCCTGCTCAGCTGGGAGTCTGCTTCTCCCTCTCCCTCTGCCCCTCTCTCCGCTCATGCTCTCTCTCTGTCAAATAAATAAAATCTTTTTTTTTAAGATTTTATTTATTTATTTGACAGAGAGACAAAGCGAGAGAGGGAACACAAGCAGGGGGAGTCGGAGAGGGAGAAGCAGGCCTCCCACCAAGCAGGGAGCCCGATGCGGGGCTCGATCCCAGAACCCTGGGATCATGACCTGAGCCGAAGGCAGACGCTTAATGACTGAGCCACCCAGGCGCCCCATCAAATAAATGAAAAAAATCTTTTAAGAAAAAAAGAGAACTTCCAAAATAGGACCAGGACCAAACCTCCCCATGCTCATCTCTCTAAGGATAAGATGAACCCCTGTCTATTCCTGATCCATGAACCAAAACAACTCTAGTAATGGCTGACTCAAAAAGGGGGACATGGTTCCCTCTCAGAAAAGTAACAAAATAAGCAGACTTCAGGCATTTTACAATTAGATTATCATTTAAACAAGAGTTTGCAATGCCTTTTCGTAAACACAGACTTGTCTGATCTTTACAGAACCCCTTTATAGTAAGCCGTGTGGGATCATTATTATCCTCAAAAGGATGAAGATCCTAGGGCTGAAATTTTTAGGGTGGGAAAACACAGCAGGCCAATTTGATTTCCAAAACAAAAGAGGAGGATTAAATGGCTGTTAGAGTTATGACTGGAGTTCAGTTTTCCCCTCTGGTATTAAATGACCTCAGAAAGGCCTCAGCCAAAGTAAAAGACTAGGCTGGGGAAAAGAAGAGCTCCATTTTGTAAATGAGAAGCCTGCTTTATTTTACAAACCTGAAATACATTCCACTGTATAAATGGCATTCATGTACACAGTACTGGAGATCTCTATTCTAGAAACCAACTCAGGGATCCAAGGGGTTTCTTTCTACTTGACCTATAGGCTTTATAGGGCCATAATAAGGACTGGATACATAAATTGTTTAAAAACACTTTGCCAGGGCACCTGTTTAAAAAGCTTTGCCAGGGGCTCAGTAGATTAAGCGTCAGACTCTTGATTTCGGCTCAGGTCATGATCTCAGGGTGATGAGAGCAAGCCCCACTTCAGGCTCCATGCTGAGCATGGAACCTGCTTGAGATTCTTTCCCTCTCCCTCTGCCCCCCACCCCCCACCCTCACTCATGTGCACATGCATGTGCACACACTCTCTAAAAGATAAATAAATAAAAATTAATTAATTTAAAAAAAAAACACATAAACTACAGTACTAGGAGCCAAAGATCTGGATTCTAGTTTAAACTCAGCTATTCTAATATGATCTTTACAAGTAATTTACCCTCTAAAATGCACAGGTTCCTCATAGCAATTATTAGTAATACTTATGAGCACTTGATATGTGCTGGGCACTTTTCTAGGTACTTTACATATATAAACTCATTTAAAGCTCACAATCACCACCCAATGACCTAAGAATATTGCCATTATTTCATATGGATAAAGAAACTGAGGTATGGATAGGATAAGTAATTTCCCAAGGTCACATAGTTAATATAATGACAGGGTTAAGATTTGAACCCAGGCAGCCCAACTCCAGAATCCATGCTTATTTATGAGATGAAAGGGTAAAAGGAGTATCTCCAAAGTCTCTCCTAACACTCTATGATCTAGTCTTGAAACAATTAAAACACAGCATAGTACCGTGGAAAGAGCCATGTACTTGGACTCAAAAAGCACTGATTTGACTCTTTGCTCCACTGATGAGCTACAAGCCTTTGTTGCCTCTTCTATAAAATAAAGAAAAAATCCCTACTTCTCAGGATTTGAGAAAAATCAACAAATGTACCTTGCAGCATGTCCAAATAAATATTAAGTTGAATCTGAATCTCCATTTCCTCATGTGTAGGCAGGAAAGGGTAAGGGTGATGTGGAGAAAGGTACAGGAATTTTAAACCTAGAGATGCTTTCTAAAGTGCCTCACAGTTTCAAAACTGTGTAACTATTTTTATTTTTTTAAAAGATTTTATTTATTTGACAGGGAAAGACACAGTGAGAGAGGGAACACAAGCAGGGGTAGTGGGAGAGGGAGAAGCAGGCTTCCCGTTGAGCAAGGAGCCTGATGCGGGGCTCGATCCCAGGACCCTAAGATCATGACCTGAGCCAAAGGCAGACACTTAAGGACTGAGCCACCCAGGCACCCCGAAACTGTGTAACTATTTTTAACAGACCACTCACAACACTTTATGTTTTAAATGAAAAGTAAAGCTTCAAAATATTTTATTTCAGCTGAGATTTGATCTGTTGGGATAATATTCAAATAAGAGACAGTTACTGGCTTTTTGTTTATTAACACTGAATCATTTGCCAGAATCATTCAATGTTAGATGTTCCTTTCCTAAAAATGTAAATACGGGATAAACTTCTGCAGATTCAAGCCCAAAGCAGGGGAAGAAAAGTAATGGGAAATTACAAGTAGGAACAATACAAACTTTTGAAAGATTTTCTGAAGAATTTCATCATATTTTTTCCCCACATCAACAAAATTTTTCTCTATAATTTTGGTTCTACTTGGTTTTATGCCAATACTTTAAATCAGTTCTTATTAGAAGAAAGAAGCAATCAGCTCTGTTCTTTCCTTCTCCAGTCCTACAACAACAATTTCTTGTCCAAACCCTTAATTGAAACTGAGGTGCAGCAGAAAGGGTATTTGAATCCCAAGACAGTTATTAAATAGCTGTGTGACCCTGAACTAGTTACTCAACATTCTAGACCTCCATTTTCCCTTACGTAAAGTGGGAATAATAAAAGCTACCTCACAGGAGTGTTCCAAGCATCATTTGTAAAAGCACCTCAAGAACACTGAAGCACAGGACACCTGGGTGACTCAGATGGTTAAGCGTCTGCCTTCGGCTCAAGTCATGTTGAGTCCCACATCGGGCTCCCTGCTCAGCGGGGAACCTGCTTCTCCCTCTCCAGCTCCCCCTGCTTGTGCGCTCTCTCTCTCTCTCTCTCTCTCTCTCTCTCTCTCTGTCAAATAACTAAAATCTAAAACACACAAAAAAGCATCATTTTAACAATTGTTACTGAATTATGTACATAAGCTTCTCCTTTCACAGCAAACTGTCAGAGCAGCAAGAACTACTTTCTTAAAATATTGTTTTGAACCTGGTATTCCCTTTCTCAAAAGTTTGCAGTGCCTCCAAGTGCCCTTTTAGTCAAACTTAAACACCTGATCTTTACCAACGGGACCCTTCTAGACTCAACTTTATACTTACATACCCTGCCTTGTATTCTCCATTCAGCAGTTCCAAAACCTGACTCAGATTCCCTGGTTTGGGAATTACTGCTCCTCTCCACACAAGCTAATCCCCTTCTGGTCAGTTCCTCTGGGACTCTTTTCCTCCCTCTTACCCAACCCATGAGCTCATTAGCTTCAAGAAGTCTCCCCAAACTCCAGGTACTGGTTCTACTGACTCTATTCGGCCCATTTTCCTCCGCACCTCTCCCAGATTTATATTTATAAATGAATATAAATCTGTGGACGTACTTCTCTCCCTCTTAAAGATACTGACATTTCAGGCCTGTAACAATTAGCATACCTCAACTCCCAAGTTTAGGAAAACATTTATAGCCATTTCCAATGGTTAAAATTATTGCTTTAACTTAGGATAATATATACACCATAATTAAATGGGAACTTGTTTTATTGTCTTTTTGCCTCACCAACACTTCAAAACCAAAATTTTAAAGACAGGTTTCACGTTTTTATTTCCTGTGCATATTGTAAATTGCTGGTGATTTTACATTTGTATTTCAAAATACTCTGACAGACCAATTTTTCAACTATACCTTAATCAGTCCACTGACCAGCCTGTTGCCACATGTGGTTTGTTTTTTTTTTTAAAGATTTTATTTATTTATTTGAGAGAGAGAGAATGAGAGATAGAGAGCACGAGAGGGAAGAGGGTCAGAGGGAGAAGCAGACTCCCTGTCGAGCAGGGATCACGATGCGGGACTCGATCCCGGGACTCCAGGATCCTGACCTGAGCTGAAGGCAGTCGCTTAACCAACTGAGCGAGCCAGGTGCCCTGCCGCATGTGGTTTTTAAGATACATAGTATTTTCCTCAGCTTACTCATGAGCTGGAAAAGGCTTTACAGGGAGTCCATTCTCCTATTCCCCATAGTGTTCTTTTATAAAGTGCACACAAACACTGAGTTAGTAAATACTGAACCATTGCTCCTAGGGTAAATACAGGCTTAGGTGTCTGCAAGCCTCCGGTCACATTTTCATCAACCAATCAATACATAACCTTGTGTGTTTCTGTTTAAAGACATCTTGTTTTATTACGTATGTGTATATATATGCATATATAGTTGATTCATTAACATTGAACTCATGGCCAATAGCACCATAACTCACTCCTGAACAAAACTTACCTAACACATAAATTTTCTCTGTAAGGAACATCACAGCCTTCTTGCACTTAGCAACACTTGATAGCACTAAATGGCACTAACATTTGGGGACCATATTAAACAGGGAAATCACCAACAAAGCACAAAAATGCAGAAAAAAAAAAAAACATGGCATTAAATAGACCGTGAAAAGGATCGATCCTGGGATCGAGTGCGGTGTCGGGCTCCCTGCTCAGCTGGGAGACTGCTTCTCCCTCTCCCTCTGCCCCTCTCTCCGCTCATGCTCTCTCTCTGTCAAATAAATAAAATCTTTTTTTTTAAGATTTTATTTATGTATTTGACAGACAGAGACAAAGCGAGGGAACACAAGCAGGTTGTGTTGTTGCATGTTGCA